CACGTGGAGCAGGCAGAGAGTGGGAGTGCTGCGTTTCCTCACCAAGATGTGTCCTCTGGTGCCTTGTCTTCACGCGTGCTTCTTCTTTTAGTGCCGTCTCTTTGCACTTCTGGTGTTTCCTCCCTCGTGTCTTCCCAACCTCCCCTGAGTCGGCTTTCTCAGTTGTACTAAGTGGGCTATGACAGGCCTCAGAGCCTGGGTTTATTGTCCCGGGTCCACATCTAGATCTAAGCCCTCGAGTTGCAATCTTCTCTGTGAAGACTTTGTCCAAGGAATGGGTAACAGTCTTCTCATCATTGCTCACAGACACTCTAGCTGCTGTACTAGATGAAACATCAGGTTCTTCTGTCTTAGCAGGAAAGATTTTATTTGAGCGTGTCACTAGGCCAAAATTAGAGTTGGTTTTCTTCCTAGATCTTAAAACTATCTTCTCTTCACTTGTAGGTTTGATTTTTTCTTGCAAACTCTCCATTGGTTTGTCATCTTCCTCTGTGTATATAACCTCTGCTAAACTAGCCAAACTCTCAGTTTCTGGCAAATTTATACCAGTTTTACTTCTTCCCCTGGATCTTAAGGTTACTGCCTTTTCTTTCCTAGGTCCATCTTCTGAGGTTTTCTTTTGGGAGCTCTTCAGAGTCTTCATTTCACCTTTATTTATTTGAATTGTTTCTGTTGATGGAAGCAGTTGAGACTCTTGCACTTCTGTATCCGCTTTGCATCTACGTCTGGAACGGAGGGATGTTCCCTGACGCAGATTTGCCTGAATACTTGGCTCAGTTGTCTTTACATTCGTTTCTGATTCCACTTTCTCTGTCTGATGCGGCAAATGTTTAGATTCTTGCAATTCTGGACCCCCTTTGTTTCTGAGGGCATATCTTGTCCTTTGATTTATACCACTGTCTTCCATGTTTTTTTCAGAGGCATTAGTCTGGAATTCTGTAACATAAAGGGACATATACGAATTTATAAACATGCCCATTTACATATAAGTACATATGTATAAAATCAGTTTCCCATAAAGCATCATATAGGTACAGCAACTCGTCTTTTCACATTATTTATTTTTTAAACTTCACAAATGTGAAAATCTCAGGTAGCCTATAAGGGGGGCAGACTGAGACAGACTGATAGCCCAAAAGTAATAACATAATACAATAATAATCTATGCTTTGGACTTTTCAGCAATTCCTAAAAAAAATTCTAATTTTACTCAAACTCGTAAGCATGATGAGTGTTGGAAAAACAACACAGAAACAAAGATTTCTACTTACCATCTTCACAAGGATTACAAGAGGGGTTTTCTTGACTGCCTCCTGGTCCATCCTAAAAAATTAGAAGACATCCACAAAATTCCAACCATGAGTAAAGCAAATTTCAAAGTTCAACATGAAGAACATACTCGTATATAAGCTCAGAGTAATTCATTCAAAAACTTCACATGGATTTACTTTCTAAGATGCCAGGAATCTGAGATATTCAAGGTAATGCCTTGCCGTTTTGTTCTGATGGAGAAACGATCATCTCCACACGTGGGGGTGCATGAGTCGGAATCGGCTCAACAGCAACTGGTTAACTGGTTACTGGAAAGTCATAAATGAGGAACTCAAGAAAATTGTCAACCACAGTGCTTCGATGTGATATAAGTCAAACCTGACTACAACAATCTACTTAGAATAAAATGCCGAATTAGACAGGCAGTAAGTTAATTCCTAATCCTTTAAAAATCACTTCTGAAGCTGAACAGGAAAATCCCTGTATCTGGAATTTTGCCCGACGTCTCTCAATATAGAAATCTCTATAACAATCCTGATAGGGTCTTCTCAAGGATACCCACCCCCGATTTATATTGTTCTAGTTCATAAATTACTGGCACATATTAAACCATTTCTACCCAGTGGTCCTGGTAGCAGTGTCTGGGAAAACGCAGAATTATCTGCCCACCTTTCTCTGAACAATTTTTTACACATTTGAAGAGAACATAATTCCTTTACTTCCTGAGAAATTTCTTAAAATTTGTAGAAATAGTTTTGGCCAGTACTTTTTCTAAATTAACATAGTCCTTCTAGAAATCCCAAAATGATTCTTTACAATCACCTGTAGTTATTCAATGTTGAATGCAGACCCCTCTGAAGAAAGATACCCAACTATAAATTAACGTTATAGCCTTACAAATTACTATACAAAAATTGAGAACATGCTCTTCAGGATGACATTTACAATTACTGTTTTTACCTTATTTTTAGTTGCTGAATCAGATGTTTCTTCAAATGCAGCAGAGGCAACTTCCATAAGCTTTGGCGGCTCCAAGTCTTCAACTGGACTTCCTTTTGTGACAGGTCTTCGAAGCACCTGGCTTTCTTGTAATTTCTCTGGACTTGTGAGAATACCTGAATCACTTTCTGTCAGAAACTTGGCAATATGTGTGCTATCTTCTTCTGGACGAACTCTGGGAGTCTTCATAAGGCTCTTCAAACCTGACAGATTTCCCATCCATTCATATGAACGCTTTGGCGTTCTTACGGGGGTCTTGATGCCTGTCGGCTCTTCTACTGGGGCTATTTTTTTGGTAGAATTTCTCAGATGTTTTCTGACGCCCGTCAGAGGCTCTGACTCTTCTCTGGGAGCTGCCCCGAGTTTCGTGTTGACTGCCTGGTGTTCTGGTGGCACAGTTTGAGGTGGAGTTTTTAAGAGGTTCAGTGTCAGGGCCTCCACTGGTTCCGGTTTTATTTTCAATGGTGGCCTCAACAGTGACTTGCCTATTGGGCTTACTAGGGATTCTGGTTCATCTGGTTCCCTTGGAGTTGGCGTGTGATCCTTCATGCTGGCCAGGTCTTCCACGAGCTCTAGGGTTGCATTAGGGTCTTTGCAGAGTCTTGGGGACATTCTTGGAGTTTCTCCTGACTTGAGTGTGTGTTTTGGAGTTTTCTGAGTCTTTCTGTGGTCATCACAACTTATTGACACCCCTGGTGATTTCGCTGTTGGCGTTTGATCTTTTATGCCAGCCAGGTCTTCCACGAGCTTTGGACTTGCACTAGGGTTTCTCAGCAGACTCAGGGACATTCTTGGAGTTTCTCTTGACTTTGGTGTGTATTTTGGAGTTTTCCGAATCTCTCTGTGGACTTCTTCATTGCTTATTGACTCCCCTGGTGATTTCGGTGTTGGCATATGATCATTCATTCCAGACAGGTCTTCCATGAGCTCTGGGCTTGCACTAGGATTTCTCCACAATCTCGGGGACATTCTTGGACTTTCTTCTGACTTTGGTGTGTGTTTTAGAGTTTTCTGAATCTCTCTGTGGACTTCTTCATTACTTATTGATTCTCCTGGTGATTTCAGTGTTGGCATATGATCATTTATGCCAGCCAGGTCTTCCACAAGCTCTTGGCTTGCACTGGGGTTTCTCAGCAGTCTCAGGGACTTTCTTTGCATTTCTCCTGACTTTGGTGTGCATTTTGGAGTTTTCAGAATCTCTCTGTTGACTTCTTCACCGCTTATTGACTCTGCTGCTGATTCCAGTGTTGGCATAGGAGCTATCATTCCGGACAGGTCTTCCACGAGCTCTGGGCTTGCACTAAGGTCTCCCAACAGTGTCAAGGACAATCTTGGTGTTTCTCCCGACTTCAGTGTGTGTTTTGGAGTTTTCTGAATCTTTCTGTGGTCATCACCACTTACTGACTCCCCTGGTGATTCCAGCGTTGGTGTTTGATCTTTCATGCTGGCCGGGTCTTCCACGAGCTCAGGGTTTGCACTAGGGCTTCTCAACAATCTCAGGGACATTCTTGGCGTTTCCGCTGACTTTGATGTGCATTTTGGAGTTTCCTGAATCTTTCTGTTGTCATCACCACTTACTGATTCCTCTGGTGATTTCATTGTTGGCATTTGATCTTTCATGCTGGCCAGGTCTTCCACAAGCTCTTGGCTTGCACTAGGGTTTCTCAGCAGACTCAGGGACATTCTTGGAGTTTCTCCTGACTTTGGTGTCCATTTTGGAGTCTTCTGAATTTCTGTGTGAACTTTTTCATTACTTATTGACTCTCTTGGTGATTTCAGTGCAGGTGTATGATCTTTCATGCTGGCCAGGTCTTCAGCAAGCTCTGGGCTTGCACTAGGGTTTCTCAGCAGTCTCAGGGACATTCTTGGAGTTTCACCCGACTTTGGTGTCCGTTTGGGAGTTTTCTGAGTCTGTCTGTGGACCTCACCACTTATTGACTCCGCTGATGACTCCAGTGCTGGCATAGGAGCGATCATTCCTAACAGGTCTTCCACAAGCTCTGGGCTTGCAGTAGGGTCTCTCAGCAGTCTCAAGGACATTCTTGGTGTTTCTCCTGACTTGGGTATGCATTTTGGAGTTTTCCGAATTTCTCTGTGGTCATCACCACTTATTGACTCCCCTGGTGATTTCAGTGTTGGCTTATGATTTTTTATGCCAGCCAGGTCTTGTAAGAGCTCTTGGTTTATACTAGGGTTTCTCAGCAGTCTCAGGGACATTCTTGGAGTTTCTCCTGACTTTGGTGTCCGTTGGGGAGTTTTCTGAATCTCTCTGTGGACTTCTGCATTATTTACTGACTCTCCTGGTGATTTCAGTGCTGGCATATGATCTTTTTTGCTAGGCAGATCTTCAGCGAACTCTGGGCTTGGACGGGGGTTTCTCAGCAGACTCATGGACATTTTTGGAGTTTTTGCTGACTTTGGTGTCCGTTTTGGAGTTTTCTGAATCTCTCTGTGGACTTCTTCACCACTTACTGAGTCTGCTCGTGACTCCAGTGCTGGTGTAGAATCGATCATTCCAGACAGGTCTTCCACGAGCTCTGGGCTTGCAGTAGGGTCTCTCAGCAGTCTCAAGGACATTCTTGGTGTTTCTCCTGACTTGTATGTGCGTTTTAGAGTTTTCTGAATCTTTCTGTGCTCATCACCACTTACTGACTCCCCTGGTGATTCCAGTGTTGGCGTTTGATCTTTCACGCTGGCCAGGTCTTCCATGAGCCCTGGGCTTGCACTAGGGTTTCTCTGCAGTCTCAGGGACTTTCTTGGTGTTTCTCCTGACTTTGCTGTCCATTTTGGAGTTTTCTGAATCTCTCTGTGGACTTCTTCACCACTTATTGACTCTGCTCCTGACTCCAGTGCTGGTGTAGAATCGATCATTCCAGACAGGTCTTCCACGAGCTCTGGGCTTGCAGTAGGGTCTCTCAGTAGTCTCAAGGACATTCTTGGTGTTTCTCCTGATTTGGGTGTGCGTTTTAGAGTTTTCTGAATCTTTCTGTGGTCATCACCACTTACTGACTCCCCGGGTGATTCCAGTGTTGGCGTTTGATCTTTCACGCTGGCCAGGTCTTCCATGAGCTTTGGGCTTGCACTAGGGTTTCTCTGCAGTCTCAGGGACTTTCTTGGTGTTTCTCCTGACTTTGGTGTTCGTTTTGGAGTTTTCTGAATCTCTCTGTGGACTTCTTCACCACTTATTGACTCTGCTCCTGACTCCAGTGCTGGTGTAGAATCGATCATTCCAGACAGGTCTTCCACGAGCTTTGGGCTTCCAATAGGGTCTCTCAGCAGTCTCAAGGACATTCTTGGTGTTTCTCCTGATTTGGGAGTGCATTTTGGAGTTTTCTGAATCTTTTTGTGGTCATCACCACTTACTGACTCCCCTGGTGATTCTAGTATTGGTGTTTGATCTTTCACACTGGCCAGGTCTTCCACGAGCCCTGGGCTTGCACTAGGGTTTCTCTGCAGTCTCAGAGACTTTCTTGATGTTTCTCCTGACTTTGGTGTTTGTTTTGGAGTTTTCTGAATCTCTCTGTGGACTTCTTCATTACTTATTGACTCTCCTGGTGATTTTGGTGTTGGCGTTTGATCTTTTATGCCAGCCAGGTCTTCAGCGAGCTCTGGGCTTGCAGTAGGGTCTCTCAGCAATCTCAAGGACAATCTTGGTGTTTCTCCTGACTTGGGTGTGCTCTTTGGAGTTTTCTGAATCTCTCTGTGGTCATCACCACTTGGCTCCCCTAGTGATTCTGGTGTTGGCGTTTGATCTTTCATGCTGGCCAGGTCTTCCACGAGCTCTGGGCTTGCACTAGTGTTTCTCAGCAGACTCAGGGCCTTTCTAGACGTTTTTCCTGACTTTGGTGTGCGTTTTGGAGTTTTCTGAATCTCTGTGTGGACTTTTTCATTACTTATTGACTCTCCTGGTGATTTCAGTGTTCGCATATGATCATTCATGCCAGTCAGGTTTTCCCTGAGCTCTAGGCTTGCACAAGGGTTTCTCCACAATCTTGGGGACATTCTTGTCATTTCTCTTGACTCTGGTGTGCATTTTGTCGTTTTCCAGATCTTTCTAGGGACATCACCACTTATTGATTTACGTGGTGATTCTGGTGTTGGTGTTCGATCTTTCTTGCTGCACAGGTCTTCCAAGAGCTCTGGGCTTACATTAGGTGCTTTCAGCCATGTCTTCAAGGCTGCTAGAGTTTCTCCTGGTTTCGGCTTCTGTTTTGAAGGTTTCTGTGAGATGTCTTCAACCTCTACTTCTTGTTTTGTTGGAAGTAGTATTTTATCAATAACATCTGTAGTAGAGAAATAATATTTGTAAGAAAATACCACCCATAACTTCCTATTCAAAAACATCATAGTGGTAGGAAAAAAAAAAAGGTAAACAAACCCAGAGTTTCAGGTTTTTCTCCTAACTTAGCTTCTTCAAACACCATCTCTGATCTTTTGATACTGTCAGGACACACGTTGGTTCTCTGCGGCTTTTCTTTCCCTGGAGTTTTGAACATTTCGGTCAGTCCTGTTACATGAAAATATTGGAAATGCAATTACCATATTACTCATACATGCAAAGAAGTACTGAGCCTTCACATACAACACCAAAGGTTAGAAAATGAACAACAAATCACTGCTAGACTTCCTGGTAGACAGAACTTAATACAAGAGGGCGATGCCACTAATACTTATGTTTTCAAAAGACATCAAAGAGAAAGTGTATGTCTTCTCCTTTTGCATTCCTCTTGGAAAGGAAATCAAATGAAGGTAGTTAAGGTCTGTAGTCTTTTAAACTAGTACCAAAACTCAGGTACTAGGAGGACAATTGCTGGTCATCATCATACCCTCCCCTTGTGGCCGGCCCTCCACTCCTCCAAATATGCAGTGCCCTCGCTATCTTCTAGAAATAGTGAGTCCCACACTCTGGATTTTATGCACAAATAAATTTAAAATGACATTTGAAAAATGACGATGGGCTGCTCACTTTTAGTAGTCATGTAATCATGTGCTAAAAGTACAGTCATGTACGGCATAATGTCCGTTCAGGCAACATCCAACTGCATATATGTCTGTGGTCCTATAAGTTCAGAAATCCCAATCAGAGGATGGGACGTGGCGGACATAACCGGACGTAGTGAACACAACAGCTTCCCACAGGCAATACATGGATCTCACATCTCTTGTATACAAAGCGATTGCACTTCCAGGTGTGTAATAGGCTTTATTGGGGATGGTTTGAAACTACGGATTGTACAGAAGTCAGACTTTCATAATCTGGGGACTGCCTGTATATAATGCTCTTCACACAACGTCCAAATAACCCAATGCCCTATTTCAAAGAATGTATCATGGACATTGAGCAATGCACGACTGTATATGTATAATACCACTACTTTTCCATTTTAACACCAAAAAAGGTTCAGCATAATCAGAACAAAAAAAAAAAAAATACAGTACTTTAAATCGAAGATTTCCCTGTCTCAAAAACTTGTATTACCCCATGTTCTCCTTATTTTAATTCTGGCATTGATGGGGGACACTTTTTCCATCTGGTGCCTGTCTGCAATATACTGAGATACCTGTTCTAAAGGCTTCTGTTGAAACCAGAACACTCCCTTAAAAATCTCTTCGCTGTGCTGCCTTTCGGGCCTTCCTTAAATTTCCTAGATTTCTGTCTTCAGCAGATGCTTATTTATACAATAACAGTTACTCAAACCAAAGGGTGAAAATTTTTGACTTTCTTGGAAAGTGTCTTCAAACAAGAAATGCTTGAGACAATCCCTGTCTTATACCCTGAGTAGCTGAACTTCTATTTGTTTTATCTTCAATATTTTTTACTGTTTTTAGTGCTTTGGACATATAATAGTACCATAATCCATGTGCATCATTTATAAACACAAACATATATATACAGACACATGCACATACCTATGCATATTAGGTGATACATGCTCAAAATTATTGTACTGATGTGGCACACTATCAAAAATTCTGGCTTTAGATTTTTGAGTTTCTTTACAGATACATTAATCCAAATGTGATTCTAATTGGAGGTCACCTTACATGGGTGATACTGAAGAGCACAACAGCTTAAAATCTGCCAGGAAATAAAAACCACGATTCCACCTAACGGCTTCAGAGTTTTCGCAGTGGTAACCACGGGTAAATCTACGAAACATGAAGTGGAAAACCTGCTGTCTCGCCATGGTTGTACTATGGTGCACCCACCACAGGCAAGTCACTTCGCTCTTTCACTGAGAACAGAATACAATGGCAAGGATGGCTCAGCCACTAGTGGTTTAGGGAAGCCTTTTCACAGGGCTTTGTCTCAAGAAACAGCTGAGCTACCTAGAAGGAAAGTAAACCTTGAAGCAAAATGGTGCTCAAAAACACTGCTCCAACTCTAGGACAATATCTTAGTATAAACCCAGGGAGTGGGGCAGTTAGAATAGCTACGCTATGAAAAGTCTGCTTTCTTCACCATGGAGCAACTTCGGGTTTCTAGACATATGCTGCTCACCGAGGCATAGACTTGCACTGGACCTTTGCATCCCTGCTTCATGTGGGACACGTGACTCCAAGAATGTGTTGGTTTGGAGCAAACCAACTTTCTCTTCCTTGAAGTTGTGACCCCAAGAAGTGGATAAAATGATTTTACTTACAGCAGATAATCCAATTTAGCCCCCATCCACCTGGTCACAAATAGTAGGATTATATGATTCCTAAGAGATTTATAAGATTTATAGGGCTATGTTTTTACCTGACAAATCTTCAGTGTAGGTAATTTTTTTGTTCAAAATAAAGTTGTTTAGCATTCTGTAGGGTCGAGCAGGAACATTTACTTTATCCACATGAGCTCTCCCTATGATTACTGTACAGGGGGAGTTTGCATGGCCAGTGCTAAAGGGGTTTTCAATATGGTCCAGAGGCTTCTGTAGAAAAAAATGACAAAATTAAAAACACTTCAAAACGTAAATCCACACTTAACGTTAAAGCATAGTATCATTACCATGTAAGGGCAATTCACGCTGGAACTTCATACCTGCGGAGTAGGCTTCCTTCTTTGCTTTTTACTGATGTGTCTTTGAGAGTCTTGCTTTATATTTTTAATTTGTTGTTTTTTAGCACCCAATTTTACTACATCTGCCCAGGATTTGCCACCTGTCGAAGGGAAAAAATGTGAAAATTTTCAAAAACTAGCTCGAATGAGAAAACTTCCTTTCAAGTATACTTGCTTAAAAAACAAACCAAAAAACCACTAACCAGGTAATTTTGCTTTAGAAGTACTACTCCTCCTTTTGGGAAAAATTATCTGCAGGGTGTTTTTATCAACGGACTTTCTCCTGGAAGGTATTTTCTCACTCCTTCTCTTCAGATTATTAGGCCTTTGAGATTTGCTGCTGTTGGAGGCAGTTGATGACTTTGCTTCCGAAAGGACATTTGAAGAAGACTCTCCTTTCTCTGGTGCTGGGGATTGTTCCTGACAAACGTGAAATGTTCATAAGAAACCTTACCAAGTATGCATCAGCTCTGTCATGATTGCTAAAAACCTATTCAATGAAGAATTCAGCTTTCTAAATCTGGAAGCAGCCAACGTCTAAGCCAGGCTTCCGCTGTACATTAAGCCTAGGATGGAGGTGGGAGTCCAGCCCACTCATTTAGGAAAAGATGAAGAAAAGCAGCCAACAAGTTCTGTGGAGGAATTTCAGGGAGGATGATGGGAAGAACATCCTGGTGAGTAAAGGGCAAGCCAGCTCTGGCCTCATTCGGGTGAAATCCCTCCTGTGGGGTCCAGCCCCCTTCATCTGTATGGAAGCAGGGCTGCTCGTCTCTGTGAGCCACTGTCAACGGGAAGGACACTGCCCATCCCTCACCACTCCTGGAATAAGAAGGAAGTCAAGACTGCACAGGCCTCCTATGAAGATGAGCTCTAGACACAGCAGAGGACACCGTGGCCTTGGGATAGGTCATTAAAAATTCTGAGTAGCTGATGATGTCAGATAGACAGGTTCTGCCAGCCAAGAGTTCTCTTTTTCACCCAGCAGTTAAACACCATAAAAATGGCCTTAAAATTCTAAAGCCGAGAAAAGACAACCATTCCAGTTACGTTTTGTGACAGATCCAAGTTATTTTTTGTTGGTAGGTTTTCTCCTGTCACTGCAGGGTAATCAGGTGACCCCGTAAGAGTGGCTGGCAGGGGACCTAATAAACTTTTTTCACTAAACGGAGAGTGCCGCAGGCTTGCCTGTGGCCGGGCCGTTTCAGAACCTCGCTTCAAAACCTAGTGTCATGGATTGAATTGTGTCCACCAAAAATATCCGTCAACTTGGCTAGGTCATGATTCCCAGTATTGTATGATTGTCTACTATTTTGTAATCTGAGGTGATTTCCCTATGTGTTTAAATCCTATCACTATGATGTAATAAGATGGATTACCAGCAGTTGTATTGATGAAGTCTATAAGATTAGTGTCTTAAGCCAATCTCTTTTGAGGTATAAAAGAGAGAAGCAAGCAGAGAGACGTGGGAACCCCATACAACCAAGAAAGCAGCACCGGGAGCAGACCACATCCTTTGGACCTGAGGTTCCTGCGCAGAGAAGCTCCTAGTCCAGGGGAACATTGACAACAAGAACTGTCCTCCAGAGCTGACAAAGAAAGCCTTCCCCAGGATCTGATGCCCTGAATTTGGACTTGTAGCCTACTAGACTGTGAGAGAATAAATTTCTCTTTGTTAAGCCATCCACTTGTGGTATTTCTGTTATATCAGCACTAGATGACTAAGACATCCAGATTCTAGTTTTTTCCAGCACCCAATTCAATGAGCTTTCATTTGGATTTCTTCTTTTTTTTTTTTTTTTTAATTCTTAATTGTAATTCAACTTGTATCAGGAGGTTGGAAAGACTATATACCAAGCATGTGGCCATTAAATATGAGCAAGAATACTAGATGGTAAACTTACCCTCATGATCTTCTTAAGAACAGTTGGAGCAGGGATCCCAAGAGACTTTCGTTTTCCCGGGGTTTCTCCTCGTTTGAGAGGTGTGTTAGGTGGCAAATTCTCATCAAATAACTCGGGTCTGAGAAGACTACCGAAGGAGACCCTGCGTCTCTTGAATGACATTTCTTCACTCTTATTTTCAGCTTAAGTAACGAATAAAAACATGGAAAGTGCAATGAAAAAACTATCAGTATATGTAATTTGTTTCGAATTACTGTTGAAGACTGGTAGCACAGCATTAATTACATGGTGAATGTAATTAATGTCACTGAAATGCACACTTAAAAATGGTTAAATAGCAAGCTTTTTGTTATACATATTTTACCACGATGTTTTTAAAAAATATATCACAGTGATAATTTTAAATGGATTACCATCAAACTCATAATATTTTGGGTATATTATGTTAAATAAAAAGTTATTAAATTTTTTAGACGGTACACAATACTGGGGAAGCCAGCACAGCTTGTCCTAGGCAAGGTCATGGAAGCTCCATAAACACATCCAAGCTCCCTGAGGGACCAGATTACTGGGCTGAGGGCTGTGGGGACCATGGTCTTGGGGAATATCTAGCCCAAATGGTATAACATAGTTTATAAAGCAAATGTTTTACATTGGTGAGTAGCGTCTGGCATCTTAAAAGCTTGTGAATGGCCATCTAAGATACTCCACTGGTCTCACCCTGTCGGCAGCAAGGGAGAATGAAGAAAACCAAAGACACAAGGGAAAGATTAGTCCAAAGGACTAATGGACCACAACTACCACAGCCTCCACCAGACTGAGGCCAGCACAACTAGATGGAGGCTGGCTACCACCACTGACTGCTCCAACGGGGATCACAATAGAGGGTCCTGGACAGAACTGGAGAAAAATGTAGAACAAAATTCTAACTCACAAAAAAAGACCAGACTTGCCGGCCTGACAGAGACTGGAGAAACCCTGAGAGTATGGCCCCTGGACACCCTTCTAGCTCAGTAATGAAGTCACTCCTGAGGTTCACCCTTCAGCCAAAGATTAGGCCCATAAAACAAGATGAGACTAAATGGGGCACAACTAGCGACAAGGACTAGAAGGCAGGAGGGGACAGGAATGCTGGTAATAGGGAACCCAAGGTCAAGAAGGGAGAGTGTCGACATGTCGTGGGGTTGGTAACCAATGTTACAAAACAATATTTGTGCTAATAGTTCAATGATAAGCTAGTTCTGTAAACCTTCATCTAAAGTACAATTAAAAAAAAAAAAGTGAAATCTTGAGGTGGGGGGAAGTTATTAAATTTTATAAAAATTACTTTTAAAGACTGATCAATTTAAACTATATTGAAACCTAAAATAATAGCACACTTTCATTTGCCTGTAATGTTGATGAAGCTAAAACGGCCACAAGAGTTCACAAGAGATCTGAGGGCAAACTACTAGAAGTTCAAGTCCCAATTTCCCAGTACAACGATATGTGTAGAGGCTGAAAAATCCTATCCAGATAGTTTAATAAACCCATTAGTCCAAAGCTGTTGTTTTCACCTTGGAACGAGGGGTGGTAGACAAGCAAGCCTTAGCAGTGGCCTCAGAGAACTTTTTAAAAAGATATATACTTGAGCCTCATCCCCCACCTGCCTCGACAGGAGAATTCATGATCTGTGGGAAGTCCTCCAGGAGATTCTTTGTGGAGCACTGGTCAGCATGGATCCGTTGTGTAAGTGAAGCTTCCCCTTCGTAGGCTAGGGGACCTGTGACTGGTGTGCACGTGTCTAATCTGATCGAGCCACAGGCTTCCAGGACTCCGGCCCTCTGGCAATCTAGTTCTGAAAACTGGTCAGTGAAAATGCTATGGGTCAAAACTGTTCGATCCACAGCCAATCATGGATGGCACAAGACTAGGCAGCATTTTATTGCATTGTACTTGGGGTCACCATGAGTCAGTGGCCAACTCAACAGCAGCTAACAACAACCTCTCCCTAGATCCTCCCTGCTGTATGTTTCCCTAACCACCTGCACTTCCTCTGTCACAGGGCTTCTCTACTCATCTGTCGGTGTGGATGATGATTACCTACCTTCATGCCCAGTGGAGTGTCTACCACAGCAGATCCCCATTCAGTGAATGAAGTTCCTCTATTAACTCATGTCTAGATATAAGGTAGGTGCAAAGCTCTGGGGAAAATACATTTACATTTCAATTAACTTACTGATATCTGATGTAGAATCATCAAAGCTGCTTGTGTGAGATGAAGTGACTTCAGGATATCCAAGTCTCATCTTAGGTTTCCTGGGAGAAGCGTTCGGAGTTTTTCTTTTGATTTGAGAAAGTACTTGAGCGGGAAATTTCTGTTGTTGTACATCTGTGTCTGTGGACTGAAGTGAAGCATTAGCATTTGTAGGAATCCTCCCTTTCTTTTCAGAGGAGAGCTTTTCTGAGTCAGTAGCATCTTCAGCTTGTCTCACTGATTCCTGTGAATTGGCAAAATAAGAACAGTGATTTAAATGCCTTTGTGAATATGGACAGACATAACTATGAAGATACTCTTTCTGCTGGCAGTCTTCTCTACCAAACTGGTCCTGTGTGACTTTTAGAGACTTTGCTTCAGAAATGAGCCCAAGACCCATAGGTGCCAATGGTCATAATATAAACATTTATTAGCTGACTTTATAAAAGTTCCTAGTAAATGATATAGTAAATAAGCTTGAGGCTTAAAATTATTAAAGTCAAACCTCAGTGGGTTTTTATAACTTCCTTAAACATGTTTCCCAATATATGAAAGTAGAACCACAGCTTAAATTAAACATTACCTACACTCATTTGGTTAACCTGCCAGAGAGACAGTTACTTGTTTATAATCAGTTTTATCAGTAACTGGCTATAGGATGGGCCTTTAGTGAGCTTGGGCTCTGTTTAGCATGAGTGTCCCTGGGAGCTCAGAAGTTAAGGCAAGTGTAAACACAGCATGTCAGCACCCTGCCACCAGGACAGAGGTGTGGGATCCAGTGCCTTTACTTGGCACACCCTGTAAACACTGCCTTCACATTCTCACATAGGGAAACGATGGGTGGGCTGGAGGGAACAATGGAAGAATTACATATAAAAGATACAAAAATCCAGTTTTGTTTCAAGGGAGGAAAACTATATCATCTGAACTTTTAGAGGCAGAAATCCACAAAATATTACTAAAAGAAAGAATTTAACTTCTTTCTTCAAACAATTTCACATTTTTTGGTATCTAACCCAGTGCTTCTCACACTGGATATGTGAGGCACCAGTTTTTTATTTCCTATCTGAAGAGGACCAATGATTTTATAATAAAGTTTATTGCTATAAAATAAAAACTGTTCAAATTACATGCCTATGTTTTTTTATATTATGTTCAACAGCGATGAAATTACTCCATAAAATTGCTATGACATTATCTCAGTCCTCAGTTTTAATACTTATCACACACCAGTAACAAATACTTCATAGACCATTTAGTGGTACTCAGCTAACCCGTGGTTCAGCTGGCTTTTTGATTGATTCCCCTACACCTAATAGCTTAGGATGATGGCCAGTGTCTGAGGAAAAAAAAACCTGCTGCCGTCAAGTCCATGCCAACTCATAGCAGCCCCGTAGGACAGAGTAAAACTGCCCCATGGGGTTTCTAAGGCTGTGATCTGTACAGAAGCAGACGGCCACATCTTTCTCCTGTGGAGCGGAGGGTGGGTTCCAACCGCCTACCTTTCAGTTAGCAGCCGAGTGCTTAATCCCTGTGCCATCAGGGCTCCCACCAGTGTTTAGCATGCCTCAGAAACTAGCTTCCTCCACAGGAGCTGATGAGCTGCAGGCTTAACATTAAGGTTACTCCTCTAGGGAAAAAGTAATACTTAGCATTGCTGGAGACCTTGAAATTGAAGTGCATATTGCTAATTTCAGAATCCCTGGGTGGCGCAGATGGTTAAGTTCTCAGCTACTAACCGAAAGGATAGCAGTTGGGATCTGCCCAGAGGACCTCAGAAGAAAGTCCTTGTGATCTACTTTCAAGAGGTCACAGCCATTGAAAACCCTATGGAGCACGTTCCTCCTCTCCAACACATGGGGTTGCCGTGAGTTGGAATCAGCTCAGTGGCATCTGGTTTATTGCTAATTTCAGGGGTACCTATGATAAGTCTCCTAAGCCCGTGAATTCCAACTTGCTCATATTAGACTAACTTGGGAAACTTCCTAAAAAATAGGAAGAATGGAAAAATCTCAGGACTTCCAAGGATGGGCCCAGCATGGTGTTTTAGTAAACTGCATCGTCTGGAATACCTGATAGGGTCCCCTCACACAACGAAGCACACACCTCACCCCTTAGGTGCTCAGAAGAGGATTATTCAAGACATGTAAAGGTAGATGATCACAAGAACTGGGAGACAGAGGAGCCCCACAATAAAATACAGTGTTTGCACACTCTAGTTCTGTGTTTGGGGTTGTGCCAACCATACATTTGCAAGAAATTGGATCACGAGTTGCTCTAGGAGCCTTTTGGGCCAAAAGTGTCTGCCCGACTCACCGCTGTTATTTTGAATAACGTACAGAAACTGTCGTTTTAGATTATTTCAATATGTCTAAGTTCAATTTGTTTTTAATACCCTAGTTACATTCTCCTATGATAACCAATAAGCCAGGCTCCTTGTCACTGATTTAAAGTAAGAAACCATTATCTGAGGTACGTAGATAGGAGTTTATATCATTGTGCAAAAGAAGCCAAGTCCAAACGTGGATAATATTTTCCATCACCTCTTTGCGTTGTTGTTCTGGACATTCAGTGGAGTTGCTTCCTTCAGGGAAACTTCCAGATTCAAACCTGAGGTGTACAGAATGACAAAGATTCAGATGAAGGATTGGTATGTTGTTGGTAAAGTTTCCACATCTGGTTAATACGCTGGGGCAAGGAACACGCTTCAGAGTTTGTCCCAGGTATTACCTACTGATGGAAATCGGTTTAGAGTTAGGAAGTTTTGACAATAACTTTGATACGTTGCCTCAAGTTACTTTTGGAACACCGTTGTCTGAGGCTGTGGGCCCAGGTAAGTTTCTCCAGATGAATATATGGTCTAGGGAATACAGTTTTGTTTTTTTTTATGAGATAACCTAAATCAGTCTTAGTGGAAGATTTCAACCAACACACCTCTCAGAGTAAATAGTAAGCAAGGGAAACAGTAATATAGAAGGTTTGAATCGAGTGGACCTATAGATAGAACAGTGTATCCAATGACTGTAGAATATACATCCTTTTCAAACACAGAGAACACATCAAAAAATTAACCATGTCTGATCTAAGGCAAGCCTCAACACATTTCAAAAACAGGAAATGAAAAAAATACATAAAAACAAGGGGTGGGGGACAGGGAATGACTCAAATGTCCATCCAGTAGAAAAATAAATTGTATGAAATTGTGTCTATGATTTCAGTGAAATTCTTAGGCAATGATAAGGAACAAATGACAATTATACCCAAAGTCCTGTGACTCTCGTAAGCCTAAGAGTGAATAAAGTCAGGCACTTAATAAAGAGAGACAGAAGCATGGTATTTAGAGACTCATGCTTAGGTATCAGCTGCCAAAAGGCTTTATGACATCACAGCAGTGGCTTACTTGCTGAGGGAAAGCAGCCGTGATTAGAAGACAGCATGGAAGCAGCTTCTGGAAATGCTCTACTGCATGATGGGTGGTGGTCTCCCTGTGTTCAGTTCATGACAAACTGAGCTGCACATTTTGTTTTGTGCCCTTCTCTATGCATGTGTTTTACTTTAAAATAAGCCAAAAAAAAAAAATACCCAAACACGTTGCTGTCAAGTTGATTCCAACTCATAGAGACCCTATAGGACAGAGAGTAGAACTGACACATAGGGTTTCCAAGGAGCACTTGGTGGATCGAACTGCTGACCTTTTGGTTAGCAGCTGAGCTCATAACCACTGCGCCACCAGGGCTCCACTTTAAAATAAAGCAGCTAAAAAACGCTTGCAGTTTCACATATAGGCAGTCTTTGCAATCACGGAACCAGCTTCCTAAGGACCAGGCCACCTTCTTTGGTGTAGTCTCGTGCTCAAATCCTAGAATTTAGATCACACTGAAGATCCACTTCTCAGTTCTTCTAAAGAAATAGCATTGAGAACAACAATATGAAACACTTTGACAGTTACAAACGTTACAGAGAAATCATAGCTGAACGGCGAAACTAGTATGGTTAATCAGAATGTGCTGTTTATTACAACCCCACTAGTTTTTACCTACCTGAAAGATCGATCAATAATGGTTATTATATCTCCATGTTTGAGTTTTACTGGTTCATTAAAAGGGGCTCCATTTAATTGTGTTGGATTGGTGGTACTGAAATTAATCAATAGTGCCTACAAGCAGAAAGGGAGAAGAGGGTAACTAGTAAGTCAGTAAGCAGTGAAATAAAGTTTTTACAAACACTTCACGAACGCACTGACCTCCTGCTGCCGGATGTCGATTTTGCAGTGTTGCTGGGAGACCACAGGAAGCTGGATGCGGATGTCGCATTCGATGCCCCTGAATTATAAGAAGGAAGATTGCGGGGGTTGTTGTACCATTTTTTAACATTACCTCAAATTTTCAAAAAAAACTTTGACTAATATTTTTTTGTTGTTGTAAAATAGAGATCACAACATTTTTCACATGTACAATTCAGTGAGACCAACTACATCATTTATGCTGTGTATCACCAATATGTGCCACCAGACTGTTGACCCCGTATACAGAAATTCAGTGCCACCTAAACAATGACTCCCCCCTTTCCCCCACCCTCTGCCCGTGGTGACCATTAAATTCTGATCTCTATCCAGGCTGGAAATTTTACATCATTCCTTCTCCTCCTTGAACTTGTATTTCCATTCCACTTCCTCCAGTGACTTTTGTCCCAAGGTAACGCACATACTTTTATGCTTAAGAGTCTTTTAATAATCTGCACCCTTCTTACCTACTTACCCCATGTATACATTTGGGGCACAGTGGCTAAGCATTAGGCTGCTAACCAAAAGGCTGGCAGTTTGAATCCACCTGCCGCTCCTTGGAAACCCTATAGGGGTAGATCTACTCTGTCCTGTAGGGTCCCTGTGAGCCAGAATCGACTTGATGGCAACGGGTATCTGCCTATTCTAAGTGTTTCATCTTAGTGAGATTATACAGTTATTTTTGACTAGCATTTTTGATCCCTACACGCAAAAACATAAAGTTATACCACACTGGACAATGTAAATGAACTTCACATTTTGCAATGTTTACAAATATTGTGTAAGCAATCATTTTATATATTTAAAACTTAAAGTACTTTAAAAAAATTATAATAGAAAATACTACAATGCAAAGCTTTTTTTTTTTAAATTAAAACAGTCACACTTATGAGCCATAAATGAAGGACTTTATGTCAGTTTGGAGAATGACTAATTTAATTATTTTTAATACTCTACATAGGTTTTGTTCTGTAAAGCACTGTGTGTTGCAAGGTGTAATCATCCCCACAAATGCTTGTTTTACACTAGAACCTCTCTGTGCCTCAGTTTCTTCACTTACAAAAAGGGATTACACAGCATGAGCCTGGGCATGAGAAAAGATTCAATGAGTTGTACAATGAAAACTGTGAGAGCCGGAACTCGACAGGACTGCCTTGTTTTTCCAGGTCTCACAAGTTCTCCGCCTTTGACAGGGTGCAGTCTTACCACTTTTCTGTTGCTCTCTATTAGTGGAAAATATTTGAGTCTTCCTTCTCTGATAGGTTTCTGTCTTACACGGGTTCCAGATTTCACAGGTTTTCCAGTACACAGAATTATTTGTCTGGCATAGTAAATACTCATTATGTGTAAGCTGTTTATTAAAACTACACTGTACTGGCTGACAGATTCAAAAATCTCCTAACATTAAAAATACTAATCTGCAATCAACAAAAAAGCATTATCTAGATTCTACATGTTGACATATTCGCTTTTTTAACACTTTAAAGAGGTCTTTTGCAGCACATTTGCCCAATGCAATGCACCGTTTGATTTATTGACTGCTGCTTCCATGGGCATTGACTGGATCCAAGTAAAATGAACTCCTTACCAACTGCAATCTTTGACTGTTTATCATGTTCAGCTCTGTCAGGAGGTGGCATATGATCAAGAACCAATGGTACTGAAGGAAGAAGTCCAAGCTGCACTAAAGGCATTGGCAAAAAACAAGGCTCCAGGAATTGACAGAATACCAATTGAGATGTTTCAACAAACGCGTGAAATGCCGGAAGCGCTCACTTGTCTATGTCAAGAGATTTGGAAAACAGCTGCCTGGTCAACCCACTGGAAGAGATTCATTTACATGCCTACTCAACAGGAAGATGATCCAATGGAATACAGAAACTATTGAGTATCATTAATATCACATGCAAGTAAAATGATGCTGAAGATAATTCAAAAACGGTTACAACAGTACATCAACAGCAAACTGCCAGAAATTCAGGCCAGATTCAGAAGAGGACATGGAACCAGGGATAACACTGCTGACATTAGATGGATCCTGGCTGAAAGCAGAGAATACCAGAAAGATGCTTACCTGTGTTTCATTGACTATGCAAAGGCATTCTACTGTGTGGATCATAACAAATTATGGATAATGTCTTAGTCATCTAGTGCTGCTACAACAGAAATACCACAAGTGGATGGTTTTAATGAAGAGAAGTTTATTTCCTCATAGTCAAAGTAGGCTAAAAGTCCAAATTCAGGGCATCAGCTCCAGGGGAAGCCTTTTTCTCTGTCGGCCTTCCTCTCTTCAGTGTTCTCCCAGAGTAGGAGCGTCTCTGCACAGGGACCCTGGTCCAAAGGATGCGCTCTGCTCCTGGCACTGCTTTCTTGATGGTATGAGGTCCCCCTGTCTCATTGCTCACTTCTGTCTTTTATATCTCAAGACATTGCCTCAGGATACAATCCAATCTTGTAGACTGAGTCCTGACTTACTAATACAACTGCCACCCATCCTCCCTCATTGACATCATAGAGGCAGGTTTACAACTTATAGGAAAACCACACAATACCAGGAATCATGGCCCGGCCAAACTGATATACACATTTTTGGGGGGACAGAGTTCAAACCATGACGGATAACATTGCAAGAATGGGAATTCCAGAACATTTAATTGTGCTCATGAGGAACTTCTACAAAGATCAAGAGGCAGTTGTTCAAACAGAACAAGGGGATACTGCATGGTTTAAAGTCAGGAAGGGTGTGCATTAGAGTTGTATCCTTTCATCATATTTATCCAATCTGTATGCTGAGCAGATAATCCAAGAAGCTGGACTGTATGAAGAAGAATGGGGCATCAGGACTGGAGGAGGACTCATTAACAGCCTGCGATATGCAGATGACACAGCCTTGCTTGCTGAAAGTGAAGAGGACTTGAAGCACTTACTGATGAAGATCAAAGACCACCCAGCCTTCAGTATGGATTACACCTCAACATAAAGAAAACAAAATTCCTCACAACTGGACCAAAAAGCAACATCATGATAAAGAGAGAAAATATTGAAGTTGTCAAGGATTTCACTTTACTTTGATCCACAGTCAACACTCATGGAAGCAGCAGTCAAGAAATCAAATGATACATTTCATTGGGCAAATCTGCTGCAGAAGATCTCTTTAAAGTGTTAAAAAGCAAAGATGTCACCTTGAGGACTAAGTTGCACCTGAACCAAGCCATGGTGTTTTCAGTCGCCTCATATGCATGGGAAAGCTGGGCAGTGAATGAGGAAAATCAAAGAATTGATGCTTTTGAAATATGGTGTCGGCGAAGAATATTGACTATCTCATGGACTGCCAGAAGACTGAACAAATCTGTTTTGGAAGAAGTACAACCAGAATGCTCCTTAGAAAGGAGGATGACGAGACTTTGTCTCATGTACTTTGGACATGTTATCAGGAGGGACCAGTCCCTGGAGATGGACATCATGCATAGTAAAGTAAGAGGGCAGTATACAGGATTGTTGTACATAGGGTCACTGTGGGTAGGAACTGACTCAACAGCACCTAATAATAATTGTAAAGTAATTGTAAAATTTGTGTTTGAACTTTTAAAAATACAACTATATAAGCTTTATGTGCCGTAAATAAAAATATTTGGTAATAAACAAGCATGTCAAGTTAACATAGTATGGCGGAAAACCAGAAACCCAACCCTGTTGCTGTCAAGTGGATTCTGACTCATAACAACCCTATAGGACAGGGTAGAACTGCCCCATAGGGTTTCCAAGGAGCGGCTGGTGGATTCAAACTGCTGACCTTTTGGTTAGCAGCTGAATGCTTAACCAGTGGGCTACCAGGGCTCCAGTATGGAGGAAGTACCAAGGATTTCTGAGGAAAAGAACTAATTCTAGAGCCATGTTTCTAGCTTGTTTTGCTACGACTAGTATATTGCCATCTTTCTCAAAGTTTTAAACATCCCCAGGGACATACAGCGCTTACCTTCCAAATAAGCAGGTGTCGCGACACAACGGAAAATGGGTACCGTCGCTCCCGGTCCGTCTTATGACGACCAGACGTCCCAAAGGTCCCATTTGCTAAACTCTATGGATCGCACAATCCTTATAGGTTTGTGGAAGCAAACTTACCAACAACTCTTCTGCCACAACAACACGTTGCTGAATAAAACAAAAAGGGAAGCGATCACTCTCAAAGCAATCGAGCTAGGAAGTTGCTTTATGTGACCAATTAAAGTGGCTTGTACAGTGAGCCCCTTCCGCTGCTCCTTGGTCCGCACCTGCAAGACACCTGCCTGAACTCCAGCCAGCACCCCAGGCGGCACCCCAACAAGCCGGGTCGCCGCAGGCCCCAGGGGCTTGCGGGCACCCCAAAACAGACGCGGCCGGACATTGCCCATAAATCGCGATCCTCCTCCCCCCGAAACCCACCCCCACCCCCAGCCCCTGGCAGTCGCCCAGGACACCTTGGGGCCCAGACAGCGCTCCCTGTACCACCGGGACAGAGCCCGACCGCTCACCCGGGAAGGGTCGCTCATGATCTTATGCAGCTCCGACTGACCATCCGTCCAACCTTCCGTCCACTGTCCACACAGAGGGGTCCGGACGCGACCCCCCGGACTGCAGTTGCCAGCTGAGCCCTGCGCCCGCCGCCCGCGCAAGCCCCAGACGGCGTCAACGCTGACCCCCGATGCCGCCAGCCCTGGCCTCCGACACCGCTGGCCCCCGATGGCGTCAACCCTGGCCACCGACACGCCGGCCCCGGACACGGCCCGCCCACTACGGCGTAGAGCCAGGCCCCTGACACCCCCCGCCCCCGACGCCAAGGGACTTGGCACCCGGCACCGCCGGCCCGGGCCATCGAAGGCCCCGGACACAGCCGGCCCCCGAAGGCGTTAACCCCGGCCACTGACAAGCCAGCCCCGGACACCGCCGGCCCCTTACGGCGTCGAGCCTGGCCCCTAACGCCCCAGCACCCGACACCCCGGCCGCAGAACCCTCAGGCCCCGGCCCCCGCTGGCCTCAGCTGCCGCCGAAAGGGCCCGAGCGCCACAAGCCGTCCCAGCCTACCATGTGTCCCCGCACGGAGCCCTGTGCCACTGCGCGGCCCCGACACTCACGCCTTCCCCGCAGGCCGGCTCCACGCTACCCCCCGCCCAGTTCGGTCCCCGAGAGGCCTGCAGCCGCGGCTTCCGCCCCCAGTTCGGTCCCCGAGAGGCCTGCAGCCGCGGCTTCCGCCCGAGAGCAGAGCCCGCCGCCTCCGGGAGATTCGAATCTAAATTCCGATTCGAATCCTGGCGCTAAGCGCTGTGATTGGGCGGGCCGGCAACCGAAGGGCCAATGGGAGGTGGCGGGGCGGGGTCCGGGGGAGGGACGGGGCCTGGGCGGAGCGGCGGAAAGCCGGAGGTGGGCGGAGGGCAGCCTGGCTGCGCCCCAGGTGCGTCCGGAGGGTGCTCCACGCGGGCCCGCCAGCCCACCGCGTGCTACCGCCGGGGGTGAGGGGGGCGTAACAAGGGGACAGAGTGGCCTCTGCAGATGGGGGCTGGAGGGGACATTCAGCACGCTTCATCAGAAAGGAAAAACATCTTACTCTCTTCATAGAAGAAATCACAAAGAAGGGAAAAAATGCAACACAACCCCACCGCCCAGATAACTTCTCTACCCTTATTTGAAGGACCGAACACGCGGAACACGATACGATGTTACTTACTGCCAGGTTTTTAGAATTGCTTAATGTATACGCCCTTCTCCATTCCCTCCTTCCCAAGGATAGCGAATATTTTTCACTATCTTGTGTATTTTCGCAGGCATACAAGTATTATTCTCTTTTTCAAAAGCACACAAAAAAGATCATAATGTACACATTATTCTATACTTTGTGTTCTCTGCTTAATAAATCCTGAGGGTATTCTCATTTATCAGATAGTTCCAATTTGTTTTTGTTTTTTGCTGATTACAGAGTATTTCCTTGTAGGGAACCATAATTTACTGGTGGCAGAGTGGTTAAGAGTTTGGCTGCTAAACAAAAGGTTGGCGGTTCAAATCTGCCAGCTTTTCCTTGGGACCCTAAGCCGCGTTCTACTCTCTGCTATAGGGTGGCTATGAGTCAGATCCGATGGCAACGGGATTGGTTTTTTTTTTTATTGCTACACATTTAGGTTTACAATTGTATTGCTATTAAAAATAGTTCTGCCGTTAAAAAACATTGTGCATGACCACATGGATGAATCTTAAAATAATTATGCCAAGTGAAAGAAACCAGAATAAAAACAATGCCTACTGAGTGATTCTGTTTATATAAAACTCTGAAACATACAAACTTATCTATAGTGACAGAAAACAGAACAGTGGTGTATTTGGAGGAAATCAAAGGACAGAAGGGTGGGATTATAAAAGGGGACAAGGAAACTTTTGAGGGTGATGAATATGTTCACTATCTTGGTTGTGGAGATTATTTTAGAGATTATGCAACCCGATGAAATTTGACACACTTAAATATGTGCAGTTTGCTGTATGTCAATTATTCCTCTGTAAAGGTGTGTTTTCAAAAATACCCTGTGCATGTATTCCCAGCAATTAATCTATTGGATCAGAGGCTCTGTACATGTAAAATTGTTAATGTGTATTCCCAAATTGCCCACTAAGAGGTAGAGCTAATTTTTTCTTTCACCATTAAGGTGCCAGAGTATTGGTTTCCCACCCACTGACCAGTATATTGACAATTTTTTTTATTATTATTGTTTAATTGATGTCAGTCAGTAGGCAAAGAAGATTCTCTCTTTGGTTCTTCATGTCTTTCATGATGAGTGAGATTGCACATCTTTCTATACGTGTTGTGTCTATTAGTTTCCCATGGCTGTTGTAACAAATGACCACAAACTTGGTGGCTTAAAGCAACACAGATTTATTAGCTTACAGTCCTGGAGGTCAGACGTCTGCAGTGAGTCTCACTGGGCTAAAATCAAGGTGTCAGTAGGGCTGTGTCCCGTGAGGAGGCTCGAGGAGAGAATCCATTTCTTTGCCTTTTCCAGCTTCTGTTCTAGAGACTGCCTTCATTCCTGGGCTCTTAACCCCCTTGCATCTTTAAAGCTGGTAGCAGCAGGGTAAGTCTTTCCCATATCACATCACCTTCTCTTCTCTGCCTCCCTCTTTCACTTGCAAGGACCCTTGTGATTACATTGGGCCCATGGGGATAATCCAGGATGTGGTTGTGAGTCCCCACTTTTGGTGACCCCATGTGTCACAGAGTACAACTGCTCCATCAGGTTTTCTTGGCTGTAATCTTTATAGAAACGGATGGACAGGCCTTTCTTCTGCAGTGCCGCTGGGTGGTTTCGAACTGCCAGCCTTTAGGTTAGCAGTTGAGCAAAGTCCAGGATGATTTCCCCTCAGTGTGGGTTGGTTAGCAACCTTAACTGCCCTTTGCTATGTCACATAACATAACATATTCACAGGTGCCCGAGATTAGAACACAGACATCTTGGGAGAAGGAGCATTATTTTGCCTGTCACAGGATACACTGTATTTCTTTGACTTACACTCAACATTGTCCACTTTTCTGTTGTTATTTTTGTTCATCTGTTTTCTTGTTTGCTTAAGTTTTTCTTAACTTAAGGAAATTAACTATGTACTACAATTTTTCTCCCCACTGTTATTTACTTTTGGCTTAATGGTCCTTTTAAAAAATGCTGTGCTTAAATATTATTATGTCCTGCTTGGAAGAACTTGCTCAGTTTTAGCTAAAATTACAAAAATAAACTCTCCGAGTTACATGGTAAAAGGATACCTCTGGCTTCTGTGTGAAGGCCAGACCACAGAAGGCCAGATCAAATCTTACTGTGGGGCATTGCCCCAGGCACCAAATCAAGGGAGAATTCAACAATTCCCTTACTAGCACCTGAAAGTCCATGCAGGTCCATCTGATTAGAAGGTGTATTTCCAATACATTTCCCACTTTAATGTTTAATAATTATTTTTGAAAAGTTGAAACATTTGTTTTGATCAACTGTGTTTTCGTAAAATATGTGTGTATATAGATGTGTGTGCATATATGTATATGTATATATATATATAGCTCCTACGTACATATATACCCTACTTCTCTGCTTTCTGTATGCATATGTATATGTACATACACAGAGAGAGAAAGAGCAGATAAGTAGGGTGTGGATTATGGAAAGACTCTTAGGCATAAAAGTATGTGAGTTACCTTGGGATAAAAGTTACTGGAGGAAGTGGAATGGAAATACAAGTTCAAGAAGGAGAAGGAATGGTGTAAAATTTCCAACATTTTGTATTTTTTTTTTTAAATAAACGTGATCAGTAGCAAGGCACCATTGTATTTAGGTTCCACCCATACATTTAAGAGTCATGCAACCTCTCCGTTTTATTACGGTTTGCTACCTGCCGTACATTAAAGTCCTTTGCAATCATTTAATCTTACGATGGGAAAATGGACGTCTACTTAAAACTGTGACCCTATAGGACAGAGTAGAACTGCCCCTTATGGTTTCCAAGGAGCGGCGGGTGGATTCGAACTGCCGACCTTTTTGGTTAGCAACCCAACGATTAACCACTGCGCCCTTAGAGCTCCACTTAAAAATGTGTGAGGGGATACACAAAATCTCCTTTGGGGGTACGAAGCCTACGTACCAGCTTAGAGCACTCGCTGGGGTTAGGACAGCTTTATCTGGGGGACCCAGTCCTGTAGGTCTGTAAACTTCCCGCCCCACCCCCGCAGCTTGGGGGAGGGGCTGTCTGCCTGTAACTCCAGGCCCCAGGTCCCAGGGGGGAGGGGAGGCGAAGGACAGGAGAGGGTGATGGCAGGGATGCCGGCCGGCTGCTCCCCGACAGTGCCCCCCCGATGGTCAATCCAGTGGGCTCTTCCCTCCAGGAACCCCCAGGACGGATGCAGCAGGCGTCCCGAGTCCACGGGAGCCCCGGGTCCAGGTCAGCCCACCCCGGAGCCGCTGTGGCAGCTGCAGGCCCAGGGCGGGGCGCCGGTCGGGGAGCCCCAGCCTGTAACCTGGATTTTCCTCCTTCTACTCTCTCTTCCCCTCCTCCTCCAGCCTTGAAGTGGGGTCGGGGTTCTGGAAGAGCGGGTCCCTGGGCGGTGTGTCCCCTGGGCGATGTAGAGGCCCCCTGCCCGAC